TAACTGCCTCAGCAAATTTGCATAGTACTATCCATTGATGGTGCGACCCCTTTGAAGCGCCAATAAGCGCAGTGCCAGTTTAATCTTGAAAAACAGAGGCCATCACCTTCCTTGCAGATGAAACGACTTGTGTTCCCGAGAGCGTCTCCCAGATGATGGTTTCCTGTCAAGTCTAAGGTCATCGGTTAGCCATTGTACATATCCTCATAACCTGCCATTTTTCCTCTTACGTCGATACAAAAACCCTCGCTCTGTAAATCTCTATTTGAGTGGATCTTGCGTCTTATATTCGTTGACATTTTAGTAATTTAAAAAGGCACTTCACGCACGTCCAATCTGACAAAGGCTTCTTCCTCATCTATACGTAGACTGCCCAGTATCCCCTGACATTTAGGAGAGTAGATATTACATAGGATTTAATTATGCATCTGTCTCTTTTTGATTGTAAGTACTTGTACTTCCTATTTTCCTTAAAGCTTCCTCATTTCTCAAATGTTCAGTCCATGGCATTATCAATATTCTTATGTAGAACCACATCACAGTCGCTTCAAATCTTTTCATCTTTGTAAAAACTGTGAAGCATTCACGTCCATATAGGAGATTATATAGCAATTCAGTTTTACTTCTTTTATATATATATATATATATATATATATATATATATATATCCTTTATATTTAGTTCATGCCACATCGACTGAAAAAAAAAACTACTACAACAAAAGAATTCTCCAATTACCATATTAGTAAAAAAAAAAAGAAAGAAAAACGCCCTCTCTTTTAAATTTTCAAAAAAATTCAACCTTAGCGTTGCGACTGCACGATCCAAAATTCCTTACCGTTAACAATAACACATTTCTAAAAAAACATATTTCGATTCACATCTAATCTTTCGTGTCCCGTTATTACCTGGATGGATTTAAAAAAACAAAATAAAAATCAATTTCCATGCCTGATGATGTGTGTATGACCAGATGAAAGTACTTGCAAAAAAAGACCTTATACAAGTTGAATTTATTAAAATCAGGGATCACAACATTCATCTAGAGGTTCGTGGGTTAATTTAATTTTAATAAATTTGTTTGCGAAGATGTATTCTCACCATTTATATCATTAACTTCACTAATCTGTTTTTTGTATGAATGATTCATGTAATATATATATATATATATATATATATATATATATATATATATATATATATACGTCCCTTTAAACACAAGCTGTGATCTAAAAGCTGAGCTCGTTACCGTTTTCAGAGCAGTATCTGAATAATTGAGCAACAAAATAACCACTTACCAATTGTTCCAAGAAATAGAACATAAAATAAACCTTTCCAAAACAGAAACTATTATCTGGAATGAAATCAGTTATACCCCACTACACTGAAACCAACTAAATAGTCAGGATTTGGAATTAGTATATACTAAACACTTCAAATAACTCGATACGTAGATCAACTATAACAAAATCAGTATAGGAGATAGAGAAAAGGAACAGAGAATAAACTACGCTAGGGGTAGTCTCGCACAACACTACATGTTGCTAAAAAGCCAAAACATTATCATCAAAACTCAACTGATATCCTTAACTATTTTATGTGGATGCCATGAATGGTGTTAATCTGTTAGCTGTATATAACTGCTTGAAGATAAGCGTAACTCGAGTACCGTAACTCTGTCAGTAACTACGAATTTTTCATCTTAATAAAATGGTTAATATGGTTAAAATGGTTAATATTACTATTACCATTAGAGATGAGAAGAATAGATACTATATTCTCTATTTATTGCTGCTTCCGCTGGCAGGATGTGTTAAAAGATTAGTTTAATATGGAGATCCCTATTGCGAGAACCCGGGCCAGGTTCACAAATAGCAATGAAGAAGGTAAAGCCGCGGGTAGCTGTTCTCCGGAAAAGAGTACATCTCAAAATAGAAACACAGTTGAGAGATAAAATGCAGTTTGTCCACCCGAAGGCAGTTGATACTTTTTTATTACCACAGAATTTTTTAAAAAATGCCTAACTGAAGTAACTCTGGTCGCTCGGTCAATGAATGGCAAATGTTTCCTTATAAGCAAATTGTTAATATTACCATTGGAAATGAGAATAAAATATACTACACTCTGTTTTTCGTGGCCAGTGGTAAGATATAAAGCACACGATCGTTTGTAGAGCGTATCAAATGTTATTCGATGCAACACATTTAATAATTCCTCAGAGTTTTTTAATATATAACATCGGTCGTTATATAGTAGCCAATGTAGGCTTGTCGTCCGCTATTATGAATGAATACAGCGAAAACCAATTCTTTTTCGAGATTTTTGACTGCGAGTTTGGGAACACCCTTTGGTTTTGTTTTCGTGAGAAGTTGAACTCTGAACGGTAAATTTTCATTTTAACACCCGAGCGTCATTCACTGCTGAACTATTTTCTTTCAGAAATTAGTACGCGCTTCCGTAAAGCGATTTTTTTTTGTACTTAATTTAAGAAGAAAGTTATCTTTCAAATATATGTAAACATCAACAAATAAAAGAATACCAAAAGAAAAAAAAAACACCTAATTTGAAATTTAACTTTCTTCTTAAAAAAATAAAAGAATAACCAAAAAAAACACCTAACCCTAAATTGAAATTTAACTTTCTTCTTAAAAAAATAAAATAAAAATAAAAGAATAACCAAAAAAAAAACACCTAACCCTAATTTGAAAGTTAACTTTATTCTTTAAAAAAAAAAGAATACCCCCCCCCAAAAAAAACACCTAACCCTAATTTGAAAGTTAACTACAAGGAATTACTGTGAAGGGTGTAAATAGGCCCAAATTGTATACGTCCACCGACAGGATTCAGAACTTAATTACTCATCAATAAGGCGGTAAAGGATGACAAAAAGAGCGCGAAGATGTTCGATGTTTTTCTGGTCGTTAACATCCAAAAAGGTAGGTTTCTTTAATATTTAATTGTTGATTTGAGTTCAGCATATAGATTTGCACGGAAATAGTCTTACTATTTTGGAAAAATTTGAAGGGATATTAGCGCTCGGGTGTTAAAATGAAAATTTCCCCACTGAACTGACATGAAATATTGATTGAAATTGCAAAACATTGAATTTTTTAAAAAATGTTTCATCTTTCTTTTATGTATTTATTTATTTCAAAGTTTATCTTACAATAATTTTCTCACTTTAAGTCAAAACCCAGCTCGCGGTCGAGGGACCAGATCAAGAAAAAGAATAGGCTGGAAGTGGAATCTTTTACGGTGGAATTGGATATTTCTATAGCTTATTGAGCACGATACTGTATTAGCCGATATACAGATTATGTAAACATTGATCGAATATAATTCTTCGAGAAGAACTGTTCGAAAACAATTATTCGAAAAACATTTCTTCGAATTGTAAATTGTTTGAATGAAAATTAATTGAATGGACAATTATACTGAATGATAATAATTTGAAATGCAAAATTCTTTATCTCAATAAAATGTAAAAATTAAAACCAGAAATACACAAAAGAAAATTATTCGAAATACAAATATCTTTAATAAAACAATTTAGTACAAAAAAATTCCTTATAATTTTAACTTATATCATACAAATAGTTAACAACTGAATATACGCGTTAAGTGATGCCACTAATTTTTGAAGTTTTTCATTTACGTCGCGCCGTCCTGGGTAAGACGATAAACTACATCCGCATCCTGGGTATGACGATAACCTACATCCGCGTCCAGGGTAAGACGATAAACTAAATCCGCGTCCTAGGTATAATGAAAAACTATATCTGCGTGCTAGGTAAGAGGATAAACTACATCCGCATCCTGGGTATGACGATAAACTACATCCGCGTCCAGGGTAAGACGATAAACTACATCCGCGTCCTAGGTATATCTGCGTGCTGGGTAAGAGGAAAACTACATCCGCATCCTGACGATAAGCAATACATCCGCGTCAGGGTAAGACGATAAACAATACATCCGCATATAATAAAAGCTGACAAGGTAATTACATCCGCGTCCAGGGTATGACGATAAACAACATCCGCGTCCAGGGTAAGACGACGAATTTAGTAAATACATCCAGGTATAATGAAAAAAAACATCCGCGTGCTAGGTAAGAGGATAAATTTTACATCCGCATCCTGGGTATGACGATAAACAACATCCGCATCCTGGGTATGACGATAAACTACATCCGCGTCCAGGGTACGACGATAAACTACATCCGCGTCCTAGGTATAATGAAAAACTACATCCGCGTGCTAGGTAAGAGGATAAACTACATCCGCATCCTGGGTATGACGATAAACTACATCCGCGTCCTGGGTAAGACGTTAATCTACGTCCAGCAGCAAGGCCTCTGACCAGGAGGTTTTAAGGAGAGTGTAAACACCTCTTAATTACTGGTGTTCCCAGGTCCACCATGAACCGGGGTGGTAGCACCTGTTAGGGTCCCAGCTATGGGCAAATAGTTAACCCCCAAACTGAAGTGAAAAAGCCTGATGAAAGTGTAAAAATAGGTTTTAATACCAGAAGTACGTTGTAAAAAATTAGTAGCAGAAATAAATTTTTCAAGGTAAAAAACTGTTACATCAATATATTTTTGAAAAAAAGATAATATTACCAGCAATACCTTTTTTTAAAAAAAAAAACATTACCAGCAATAATTTTTTTTTAAATAATATTACTAGCTATATATTTTTGAGGAAAACAATATTACCGGAAATATATTTTTGACAAAACAAAATATTAACAGGAAAAAAAGTTGTCGGCATTAAATAATCCATTAAGGTTGATATGCCGTAAAACAAAATAAACTAAACCAAACCAAACATTTACATCGCGGTATTTCTTGGCGCACTTGACATTTTGGCAACCTGCTCTTACTTTTGCAATATGAATTTCTTGCAAGTATTGTTCTCCTTTAAGAGCGTCTAAGAATTTCTATATTTCTATTGAAACACGCCATGAGGAGCTCTTACCCTCTATTTATCCATTCTTATAGT